AATATCCCAAATTTTTGGGAATATTTAAGTGTAAGTTAGGGACTAAATTGTGGAAAAATATTGTTTTGGGCTTAATAGCCAACATTCCCAAAGTTGAGGGACTTAAAGAGGGAAAGATTTTGGATAAGGATGACTTCTTTTCTTTTCTCCTTTTTCTTTCTTTCTTTTCTTTCTTCTCCAGCCCGCATGTTCTGCTCTTCCCGACCCCCTGCACCCGAGAGAAAAAAAAAAGAAGAGGAACCCAGCCATGCCTTGGGAAACTAGTGAGAAAGCTTGGAGATTTCTCCTTCCTTTCTTGTTCTAGAACCTGATTTGGAACCCAGAATTCTTCCCCCCTGCTGGAAAATCCGGATCTGCCCTGCTTTGCTCTGTCCTTCCGCCGGCTGCTCCTGCGTTGTGGGGGTGATTTGCTCCGGTTTTGGGTAAGAAACAGCTACCAATCCCTTTGTTCTTGCTTGAATTAACTTGGGTTTACCTTAATTTCCTCTTGGTTCTCCAATTTTTGAGGTAGGCCGTGAGTTTCTCCCCTGCACTCCCGCCGGCCTTCCCCAATCTACTAGCTCCAGTTCCTTGCTTGTAAATTCTGGTATGTGGCAGCCTTAAACCATTGTTTTTAAGCTTGATTAAGGTAGAATTAGCTTGATTAGTTTGCTGCCGTGTGATGTCCGAATTTTGGTAGAAAAATGGGGGAAATTCCGGTAGCCTTTGAGCATGTTTTAAGCTTGGTTGAAGCGTAAATTAGCTTGATTAATTGCTGTGATTTTTGGAGGAAAATCCCGTGAGATTAACTAGTGTTTTGGCCAATTTGTGAAAGTCAGGGTTACTGTTCACGTCGTGGTACTGTTCATGATACTGTTCACCGACACTGTTCACACCCCGAGGGCCAACATTTAACGGGAATTTAAGTGATTAGTTTGTGATATGAGAACGAATTTGGAGATGTCCGATTATGTGGAAAGTGATAGAAATAGCATTGTGATTAGGAATGATCCTAATGATGAGTTTACCTTGAATTTGTGATAGTCCGGTATTAATTCTCGAAATGTTTTGATTAGGTTCCCGATCGTTCTGCCAGTTAGCATTGAGATTGAGTGCTCGGTTTTATGCGAGTGAGGTAAGTAAATTTATGGTAATGCCCGTACTGTTTTTAAAAGCATGTTTTGATTTGTTTTTGAAGTGGTGGCAGGACTAAACCCGTTTTACAAGAGCATGACTGATTTGAAGTGAAATGTTTTATGCTTTTCATTAAATTGAGCATGCCCACTTGAAATTTGAGTGACT